AGCTGTTTTTCTCACCTGCACAACCTAAACCAAGGGGAAGATTCAGGTACCCTATTCCACCTCATGGAAGAAAAGGTGCTTTGGGGAGGAAGATTTTGAGACATGGCCTCTCTCTGCATGCCAGTTCGTCGCAATTCTCATCCTGTCTGGGATGCTTTGGATTTTTTTTCTTTCAAAAATGGGAATGTTTTATTTATTATTTATTTATTCATTCCATTTTTATCCCGCCCTCCCCGCCGCAGGCAGGCTCAGGGCGCCTTCCATTAAGGACTAAAAATATATAATACAAACATACCAAGTCATAGCTCACAATAAATAGAATAAAATAAAAAATAAAGTGCTGGTAGCAATAACAACCTAGTGGCCGTGATAGATATTCCCCCCAAAATGGCCCCAGTCGACATCCGGCATAGTTCGTTAGTATTATTCAGTTCAGTTCGCATTGTTGATGTTCATTGGTGTTATTGGTGTTATTAGTGGCCGCTCCCAGTGTTCCCTCTAAGCTGAATTAGTGTGCGCTAGCTCACAGTTTTTTAGCCTCCGGCTCACACATTTCTGTCTTCGCTCTGGAAGGGACGGCTCCAGAGCAAACTAATTTATGCAGCAGCCAAACCACCTGCTCAGAACTTCAATGCCAGCAGCTCTCAAAGTAGAATGTTTGCTCACAAGACTCCACTGCTTAGAGGGAGCATTGGCGGCTCCTAGTCGAAGGCCTGGTGGAAGAGCTCCATCTTACAGGCCCTGCGGAACTGTAAAAGGTCCCGCAGAGCCCTGATGTCCTCCGGGAGCTCATTCCACCAGTGTGGAATCAAAGGCACTGGTGGAATGAGCTCCAGTCTGCCACTTGCCCTGCGGCTCGAGACCAGCAGGGGAACTGCACCCTGGCCTCTGTCCCGGGGTCCTGGCTACCACCACTGTTCCCTCTAAGCTGAGTCAGCGTGAGCCGGCTCACAGTTTTTTAGCCTCCGGCACAAACATTTTTGTCTCAGCTCAGGCAGGACGGGGATCCAGAGCAAACTGATTTATGCAGCAGCCAAATGGCTCGCTCACAGCTTTAAGGCCAGTCGCTCACAAAGTTAGAATTTTTGATCACAAGGCTCTGCAGCTTAGAAGGAGTATTGGCTTCCACTCGAGGAATCAAGGTAGACCTCTGTCCCTCCTTTCCCAGGGGCTCTTTCCCAGCCCTTCGAAACAAGGCACAGGGAGGCTGGAGGACCCACGTGTGGATTAATAGCCCTGCAGGGCTGGGGGCTGCGGTGGGGGAAAGAAAAGGGCAAGATGGCTCTCTCTTCCCCCCCTTCTTCCGTTAGCAGAGACTTAAGAAGAAGAGGAAGAGGAGGAAGAGATTGGATTTATACCAGCCCACCCTTCACTCGGAGTCTCAGTGCGGCTTACAAACTCCTTTCCCTTCCCCCTCCCCACAACAGAGACCCTGTGAGGTGGGTGGGGCTGAGAGAGCTCTGAGAGAAACGGGTCTTTTTCAAGAACAGCTCTTGTCAGAACTATGGCTTGCCCAAGGTCATCTAGCAGCTGCAAGTGAAGGAGAAGGAAGCAAAACCGGTTCTCCCAGATTAGAGTCTGCTCGCATAACCACCACACCAAACTTTCCCTGTTCCACTGCAACTCCTGAGCTGTGTGGCTACTAATCCACGAGGATCCCATGACACCTGGAACCCAGGGTTGTTTTTTGGGGGGAGGGACTGGGGGGTGGGGACATGGCAAATGGCCACACCTTCTGCTAGAGGTGGTCAGGATCCAGCCCGAGGGCCGTGGGGCAGTCCTGCCGCTTTCACCCAAGTGAGATTTCCAGCGAGGGAAGAGCACCCCATGGCCAGGTGAGTCACAAACTGATCCACACCACCTTCGCCTTTCCCCTCTTTCTTCCCTCCGCTCAGACGCCTTGCCCTTTTTGGTCCTAAGCCTCCTTATTCACATCAGCCACCTTCTGGGGGAAGCGAGATACGCATTTAACCAACAGACGCATTTAATCCATGGGGTGTCAGCCTCGCTCAGAGCGTCTTCATACCTGGTGCCGTAGGTACGAGGACAGGTGAGTCTCCGTGCAGCCGCCTCCCAATAAGACCCAGGGATCCTTGACTGTTAGTTGCAAAACACGCTCTGCTGTTTGACAGGCAAGCTAAAAGAGAGACAACTTGCCCAAGGTCATCCAGCAGCTGCAAGTGGAGGAGAAGGAAGCAAACCCGGTTCTCCCAGATTAGAGTCTGCTCACTTAACCACCACACCAAACTTTCCCTGCCCCACTGCAACTCCTGAACTGTGTGGCTACTAATCCACGAGGATCCCATGACACCTGGAACCCAGGGTTGTTTTTTGGGGGGAGGGACTGGGGGGTGGGGACATGGCAAATGGCCACACCTTCTGCTAGAGGTGGTCAGGATCCAGCCCGAGGGCCGTGGGGCAGTCCTGCCGCTTTCACCCAAGTGAGATTTCCAGCGAGGGAAGAGCACCCCATGGCCAGGTGAGTCACAAACTGATCCACACCACCTTCGCCTTTCCCCTCTTTCTTCCCTCCGCTCAGACGCCTTGCCCTTTTTGGTCCTAAGCCTCCTTATTCACATCAGCCACCTTCTGGGGGAAGCGAGATACGCATTTAACCAACAGACGCATTTAACCAACAGACGCATTTAATCCATGGGGTGTCGGCCTCGCTCAGAGCGTCTTCATACCTGGTGCCGTAGGTACGAGGACAGGTGAGTCTCCGTGCAGCCGCCTCCCAATAAGACCCAGGGATCCTTGACTGTTAGTTGCAAAACACGCTCTGCTGTTTGACAGGCAAGCTAAAAGAGAGACAAAAGTGTTTTTTCTTAAGTATAAAGCAAGGAAAGGAAAGCCCGTTTTTAAATTCCAGAAAAAAGGAACTCAAAACAGAAAGAACGAGCAAAGAAACAGCGCCATCCGTTTGTTGGTTTTAATTGGCTTTAACGATGTACTACGCAATCATTCTCTGATGAAGAGGCTGGCCTGGTTGTCCAGTGTAGAGGGTGGAAGGGCACTGCAGGCACGTGATTAGAGGCTGAGCAGGAATATGAGCCTGAGATGGTCTGGCTGGTGCTGCTGGGTCCACTGACGGTGCTGCTAGGATCTATAGGAGAGCCAAGTTGGCCTCTTGGTTTCTTGCAGGCCTTGGGGCCAGAGTCCGTGTCACTGTCCAGTAGTTTGTCATTGCGGGTGAGAAGCTGTTTCCGGTGAGCAGGCTGTCTGTCAGCCAGAAAAGGTCGGCTCCCCAGAACCATGGTCCATTCGTGTGAGGGAAGGTGTCACTATTCAGCAGGGCTTATAGTCATTAATAATGCGCTGAATTGGCTTGAGTTTCTGAGGTAACTCGTGGGCCACAACGCTTTCTCTTGGCCCAAATATCCCACAGAATTACTGTTGGCTGAAAGCACCATACGTGATCTCTTTAGATTGACATTCTTGAGTGCCCACGAGTTCTTATATTGTGAGGAAGGGAGAAAAGTACTTCTTTTTCTGCCTCCGCTATCCCATGAATAATTCGGTCGATTTAAATGCCATGTGTATAGAAATATTGATTTCTAAATGTCTCCTGCATTCTCCTGTTCTGTCTTTTGGTAACAGGCTGTGCCTTATTTCCTCTTACAAGCCAAATGGTAGGCCCCATGGCCTCAATTGCATGCCATAAACCCACATTCTTCACACTTCCATGCTGGAAGCTAGGCCAGCATGCCAGAAGCTCACGTAGCAGATGGAGAAGCTGGGGTTGGGGGCCATGTGACTGCAGGCGTGGTTTCCAAACTTCCAGCCTATCGCCAGTTGTACCCATGACAACTAACAAATTGGACACACCTATGTCCACTCCAATTGGCTGGTGGCCACAGCTGACTGAGACTGAAATTGGGCTATATCTGTTCAGACCCAATGGGAGAGACTCTCTCTGTCTCTGTCCCTTGCTCTTGTTCTGCTCTTGCTTCTGGGTCTCCTGTTGTTGCCTGTTTATTGCACCTGGACATGTGCTCTCTGGAAGAGACAAAGGACTGCTTTGTGCCTTAGAGCACATGGAGGACAAGGATGGGATTGTTCCTAAAAATCCCTTGGCACCTAACTGGACTGTATCCTGGACACTTTTGGAACATGGACACTGTACTGGTAATTATGCATATCTCTAATGTGTAGTTAAGGCAAACTGCCTTAGGTTTCTTATTTTGTAATCTCTTAGTCTGTGCTAAGATCTGAACTGAATAAAATAGTATTCTTGTTCTAAGTTGTCTTTGATGTTGTAACTGGGATTCCAAGTCTATTTCCTGTGCCTACCTGGCCACACACTACCATTGAGTGTTAAGTGTACATCTCTGGGAATGAGGTGCTAATGTGTTAAGCCCTAGATGCCAGCTGAGAGATCTGAATCTCTGCTCTGAGCTGGAGGGGATTATAGAATACTGAGAGATTCTGGTGGCTTATTGTTCTGAAATCCAGATAGGGTAGCCTACCTCTCTGGGTTGTTGTTAATGTATTGTAAAAGTATAGGATTCCCTCCCATTCCTGGACAGGCTTGGGGGGCAGAATCCTATACACCATGCATTTTATTTATTTATTTATTTATTCATTTTTCGCATTTATACCCCGCCCTCCCCCATGGGCTCAGGGCAGCTTACAGAGGCAAGGCAGAACCTTGCCATAATAAAAACATAATATACTTAATAATTTAAAACATATAATACTTCTTAAAATCCTAAATTGAAACCAAAGTGCCCAGTGACTTCCATAATCCAGAGATGGCGGATCATATGTCCAAAGTTCCAAGTAGACGGATTAAGGCTTCTTCCATATTCAGATGTTTGTCTCAGGGCGTCATCCAACCTATAGTGGTGGAAGTATAGCAGGGGTGGCGGCTCCTACTCAAAAGCCTGGCAGAAGAGCTCCGTCTTGCAGGCCCTGCGGAACTGCACAAGATCCCGCAGGGCCCGGATCTCCCCTGGGAGCTCATTCCACCAGGTAGGAGCCGCCACCGAAAAAAGCCCTGGTCCTAGTAGCGGATAGTTTAGGATCCTTGGGGCCCGGGATGACTAATAAGTTTTGCAATAGACTTGCATTGGCTTTGCAAGACTCTGGGATGCATCCTCCTCCTGTCTCAAGACTCCACTGAGCAGACTTTGAAGCCTTCCACCAACCTTAAGGAGTTTCCCTCCAGCTTCTGTGGCTCTGTCTTTGAAGGAAGAGCCACTTAAACTGGAGGAAGGGCCCCTGGGGAGTGGTCGTATCCCCCCCCCATCTGTTCTGCCGCTTTTGTGGCTCCCGACACTTTGACTTCACGTCACAGACCTCTGCTGCCCCTTTTCTGCTGGCCTCAAAGAACATCAGAACATAAGAGAAGCCCATGTTGGATCAGGCCAAAGGCCCATCCAGTTTAACACTCTGTATCACACAGTGGCCAGAAATACCAGGGGCCATCAGTGGGGCCAGGACATTAGAAGCCCTCCCACTGTTGACCCTCCCCCAAGCACCAAGAAGACAGAGCATCACTTGCCCCAGAGCCCCTATCTATACCTTGTGGCTCATAGCCACGGATGGACCTCTGCTCCATATGCTTATCTAATTCCCTTTTGAAGCTGTCCATGCTTGTAGCCGCCACCACTTCCCGTGGCAGTGAATTCCATGTGCGAATCACTCTGCTCTCGTGCTTACATCCCCACAAAGTGCACGTTCCAGTGAGTGCACAGCGGTTCTTCTTACCTTTAGTTCCTCCCACGCAGTCTCATTCCTGTTACAAAGCACCAGACTGCAGATGGCCGAGTCTTCGGGAATCAGATGCAAGAACCACTTGGGAGCGAAATGCTGAGTCCGCAAGTCCTTCAGGCTGCCGTAGGGAGCAGGGGAGAGGAGCTGTAGAGACGCAATTGCCTGGGATCCTGTTCGGAAAAGGGAAGACCGATTGGGTGCATTCTTCTCTCAGCGGAAAAAGGCCTTCCTGTGCACTGAAACTATTTGGTTTCCTTCAAAATGGACATGCATCAGGGGCCTGAAATATGCTAATTTTAAATTTATTTTATTTACATGACTTATAGTCCGCCTTTCTCACAGGTACGCGGGGCAGATTACACAATTTTAATAAGTTCTAGCAGCTAACACTACAAAGGCAAATCCATCAAGGCCAGCCGTGTGGGGATAATCCACTGGGGCAACAATTCCATGGAAGAAAATATTTCCTCTTCAGGGCTATTTTTGGGCAGGAACGCACAGGAACAGAGTTGGCCTGATCCGACATGGCTTCTCTTGCATTCTTACCTCTAGAGCAAGTGATGCTTTGTATTCTTGGTGCTTGGGAGGGCAAGAGTGGGAGGGCTTCTGGAGTTATGGCTCCACTGGTGGACCTCCTGATGGCACCTGGGTTTTGGCCACCGTGTGACACAGAAGAGTGTTGGACTGGATGGGCCTTTGGCCTGATCCAACATGGCTTCTCTTATGTTCTGATGTCTGGGGCAGTGATGCTCTGTACTCTTGGTATTTGGGGGGGCACAGTGGGAGTGCTTCTGGAGTCCTGGCCCTGCTGCTGGACCTCCTGAGGGGGCACCTGGTATCTTTGGCCACTGTGTGACACAGAGTGTTGGACTGGATGGGCCAGTGGCCTGATCCAACATGGCTTCTCTTATGTTCTGATGTCTGGGGCAGTGATGCTCTGTACTCTTGGTATTTGGGGGGGCACAGTGGGAGTGCTTCTGGAGTCCTGGCCCCGCTGCTGGACCTCCTGAGGGGGCACCTGGTATCTTTGGCCACTGTGTGACACAGAGTGCTGGACTAGATGGGCCATTGGGCTGATCCAACATCGGCTTCTCTTGTGTTCTTAAGATGCCGAGAAACCACCCAAGTCTGATCCAGCAGGCCTCTTCGTATGTCCTTATTCTATTTTAAGCCAGCGATACTTGCACAGGGGCTGGCGAAACCACACATGGCTATTCAGAGGTAGGGAGAGACAGACCTATGGGCACAGAATGGGAGGGGCCGTAGCTTAGTGGCAGAGCATCTACTTGGTATGCAGAAGGTTGCAGGTTCAATCCCCAGCATCCCCAGTATCCCCAGTTAAAAGAACCAGGCAGGAGGTGACGCTGAAAGACCTCCGCCTGAAACCCTAGAGAGCTACTGCCAGTCGGAGTAGACAATACTGACCTTAAGGACACAAGAGAAGCCAATGTTGGATCAGTTCAATGGCCCACCCAGTCCAACACTCTTGTGTCACACAGTGGCCAAAAATACCAGGTGCCCCCTCAGGAGGTCCAGCAGCGGGGCCAGGACTCCAGAAGCACTCCCACTGTGCCCTCCCAAATACCAAGAGTACAGAGCATCACTGCCCCAGACATCAGAACATAAGAGAAGCCATGTTGGATCAGGCCAAAGGCCCATCCAGTCCAACACTCTGTGTCACACAGTGGCCAAAAACACCAGGTGCCATCAGGAGGTCCAGCAGTGGGGCCAGAACTCCAGCAGCCCTCCCACTGTGACCCCCCCCCAAGCACCAAGAAGACAGAGCATCACTTGTCCCAAACATGGTCTGATTCAGTATAAGGCAGAGCCATGTGTGTTCATGTGAAGTACTCTAGTAATTTTAAAAGGTTATAGTATTATATTTGACACAGTTATAGATATATTATTGTGTGTGGATGTAGGAAGGCGCACAGGGCACACGATAGCCGCGTGGCTCTTTTGGTTGACGATAATTGTGAATTTGGCTTTCCGTGACTCGCGGAGCCGATACTGCTGCTCCGAACTACTCAGACCGGAGGTCTTGGTTCCAAGCAAGGCTCCCTCTGAAGCTGTGGAGTCTAGTGAGAAAAAATTCTACTTTTTGAGCTACTGACATTAAAGCTGTGAGTGAGCAATTTGGCTACTGCATAAATCAGTTTGCTATGGAGCGGTCCTTCCGGAGCGGAGACAAAAATCTGTGAGCTGGAGGCTAAAAAACTGTGAGCTGGCTCACACTCACTCAGCTTAGAGGGAACACTGGTTCCAAGTGATCCGTCTTCAGTGATGCAGCGTTAACAGCAGGCAGGTCAGGTAGCGTTCGATAAATTCCCCCAAATTAAACAGGCAACCAAGGGGCCAATGTCACCCTCGCGTTTTTGGTCTCTGTGCCAAACCATGAACCGTCCCTGACTGGTGGCAGCCAAGGCAGAAAACATGGACACCCTCTCCTCCTCCGGAATGATGAATCTTGTTGTGTGGGTTTTTCAAACGTTTCTGTGCCGCAGCAGAAAGTGTTCTGGAATACCTCCCATCTGAGCAATCTTCCTACGTCCGTGTTTGTCTCAGTAAAGAATTGCTACTCTAAGATCTTTCCTCAGGGCTATAAATATGTCTGCCAGCTGTCGACCTCGGAGGAGAGAAACGATCCAGGGCTGCAGCGCCACAATTCATCCTGCGCGGCAGACGCAATCCCAGCCTCCACATGTCCGCTTGCCTGCCTGGCGTTCTTCAGCAAACCTGGCTGAAACCAGCGGCAGTAAAGAGGGAGACTCATACTTCTGAAAACTCTTTTCAGACGGAGACACAGACGGTTCGGGGGCAGAATGGCCCGTCCCACTTCCCACTATAGGGGGCTGTGGTAGGGTTGCCAAGTCTATTTATCTTGGCGGTGGGGGAGCCTCGCTGGGCTCGGGGAGCCGAAGGTGGATGTGCGTGCGCGCCGCCAGCACATCACCGGAAGTGACGCGCGACGTCAATCACGTTGAGGGCGTGGCCCCAATCGTCGGAGGGAAAACCATAGAGTTTTCCCTCCGACGATCGGGGCCACGCCCCCAACATGATTGACGTGGCTGCATCACTGCGCTTCGGGGGGCGGAGCTCCCCTCGGGGCCCGATTCTCCGGCAGTGGAAATCGGGCCTTCAAATCGTGGGTTTACCCAGCCCCTTGTCCCCACTTGGCAGCCCTAGGCTGTGGGGGGAGCTGAGGGGGCGGGGAATATCACATCTTCAATATTTCCTGTTTAAAAACTCCCCATGAATAGGACTTCAGCACCGAGAAGAGAATCTAGTTAAGCCGTTTGCATTCTCAATAGTTTCCCAAAATATATCTTTATTTAGGCACGTGTATTATGGCTTTTCTCCCCACAGGAACCTCCAAATGGCTTACAATGTTGCTCTCCCCTCTTCCATTTCATCCTGACAACAGCCCTGTGAGGTAGGTTGGGCAGAGAGCGTGTGGCTTGCCTGAGGTCACCGAGCACGCTTCCATGGCAGAGCGAGGATCTGAACTCAGGTCTCTGAGTCCAGCTGGGGACCGCCTAGAACAGTGGTGGCGAACCTATGGCACGAGTGCCAGAGGTGGCACTCAGAGCCCTCTCTGTGGGCACGTGTGCCATCGCCCCAGCCAGGCCCAGACCATCATTAAAGTGTCGAATTCTCTGCCAAATAATTTTAAGTAAATGAAAGCATTTGGGATTGCTTCCCTTACTTTGTTTGGATCATCTTAAGTTAATGTATGAGTTGTTTTTTCTAAAGTAAAACCTCCGTATTCAGGTTAAATTGCCGTGTTGGCACTTTGCGATAAATAAATGGGTTTTGGGTCGCAGTTTGGGAACGCGGTCTCTAAAAGGTTCGCCATCACTGGCCTAGAATAACGTCATGAGCTGCAGCATGCGGCGGGGGCGTTAGCGGAGACTGACAGCCTCCCCCCTCACGAGCCAACCGTGCTTCAGATCCAATCCAGGAGCCTCGTACAGCGCCACAAATCCTCCCTTCTACTGACGCACCACAAAGATTAAGCTCACCTGCCTCAGGTCCTGAGATGCTGAGGAGACAGGAGGGCCTATAAATATTTTATATAAATATTCTCTTTTCAGGTAGGTGACTAACAACCCCAGAAACAGTT